TGAATTGGTTTCCATAATGGTTATTGTATGCTGTAACACTGAATTGGTTTCCATAATACAGTTATCGTAGAATGATAAGTTATACACCGTAGTGAAAATAGTAACGGACGTTTCGGACGTTAGTCCTTCGTCGGAGTCAACGGTGTATAACTTATCATTCTACGATAACTGTTTTATTAGAAACACCGACGCAGTCCACGCTAGTGTTTACTAGCCAACATCTACATATGGTTTCCATAATGATTATTATATGCTGTAACATTGAAATGGTTTACATAATGGTTATTGTATGGGGGCATAAAAGAGTAGGTAACTGACTGACATAGAAACGGGTTTTCGTAAGCAATGCCACGAACTAAATTATAACCGCATCACATCTTGCATCTATGGCCGTAACTACGCGTTTTGATTGGATGAATTACCTTAGAACAATGATGGGAAGCCATTCAAATGTTACGGCATATTATGATGCCTCATGTTCTTAGTGCCGTCAGTGCACGCAACTTTTCTTGTGAGAAGAAGTATCTCGAAAGGTTTTTCCGACCAAAAAAAGGAAATCTTTTGCACTGTTGCCTTTTTTCATGCATAACAGGTGAATTGTTATTTCTCGAACTGAAATTGCGTGACAACGTGACGACCCTAAGAACGTCTGTGTAGTATCGTTACTGATGGTTGTTACCGTGATGTTCTTGTGTTTTCCTGTCACTGTTTTTTTGTGAGCGAAGTCACACACGATGAAAGCCAGTAAATAAGTGGACATTGGAACAGATTTCTGGAATCTGAAACAAAGCAAGACAATGATAGAAAGATCATCAAAAGTGTTCCTGCCTGTTGCTTAGCAACTTAAACAGATTGAAGCTCGTACTTGGCAACGAAAGTTGATTCAAACTGTTACTAAGCAACTGAATCACAGGGGCGGCGGAAGCTGAAAAATTTTGGGGGGGCACTCCAATATTTCACGGTACCTTGAAATGATCCCCCCCCCTCCCTGTTTAGCTTGATTACAAACGTGTATGTGTGATATTTCAATCAGTAACATTTTGCGCGCATTAAACCACTTGCAATTGTGCTGAGAGACACAAAAATGATGCAAGTCGTCGCTAGATATATCGTATATTTTTTAGATACAGAAAATTATGTAATATCAAAATAATAAATAATGGTAATCATAACCAAATCTCATGCGTTTTTTTTTGTGTGAGGCATTATATTCTGGGGGGGCCAGGCCCCCCCAAAAAATCTAGTGGGGGGGCCAGTGCCCCCCCGGCCCCCCCGGCCCCCCCGCTTCCGCCGCCCCTGAATCAAATGGCTACTCGACAACTAATGCTGATGCTGCTGTCACTAGAAAAAAACATTTGGTTAAATTTGTTACTATGCAACCAAAGTTGGTTCAACTAGTGTTACTAAGCAACTGAAGCTGATTCAATTTGTTACTAAGCAACGAAAGCTGCCTCAAGTTGTTACTAAGCAACGAAAGCTGCAAAGTGTTACTAGGCAACCAAAGCTGATTCAAGTTGTTACTAGGCAACCAAAGCTGATTTAAGTTGTTACTTGGCAACCAAATCTAATTTAAGTTATTACTAGGCAACCAAAGCTGATTCAAGTTGTTACTAGGCAACCAAAGCTGATTTAAGTTGTTACTAGGCAACCAAAGCTGATTTAAGTTGTTACTAGGCAACCAAATCTAATTTAAGTTATTACTAGGCAACCAAAGCTGATTCAAGTTGTTACTAGGCAACCAAAGCTGATTTAAGTTGTTGTTACTAAGCAACCAAAGCTGATTCAAGTTGTTACTAAGCAACCAAAGCTGATAAACGCCGTTACAAAGCAACTAACATGAATCGTCACTAGGGAATATGGTAACATATCTGGCTTATGGCAACTGGTAAAAGTTACTTACTTGGTGGCTACCACGCCATTAGGCAAACTATTCTTACTGTCTTCAGGCATGTTGGTTAGTGCCGTGTAGTCGTTGTCATGTACAATCGTCGTCGTGAAGGTGGCTTTCATCGCTGGTTCGTCAAAGCAGGGCAATGCTTTGCGGGCATCTGTCGGCTCGAACTTTGTCGTTACGAGTTTCCTGTTATCAAAGCAGACTTGCCGTCAATCAAACTGATTGACAACCTTTATTGCCCAATACGAGCGGCTTGCCGTCAATCAAACTGATTGACAACCTTTATCAACCATGTTGGTTGATATAACATGTGTTGTGTGCCATAAATACTAATGCAGTTAGTAACATGGTTAGATCTAGGTTTTTAAGTAGGGGGTTGACAAAATCATAAATATGCGTCTTTTAAGTAATTTGCAAACAAAATGTGTTTAAACCGATTATTTCCAAGCTAGAAGGGAGATTGACCCTGTGACTATGTATTCCCATGTATTTGCCACTACTAGGTAGAGCTGCTGCACGTGGAGCGAGCGTCATGGAGGAGACCCTTGAGGCTAGTGATAACAATATGAGACAAACGAAAAACCAATAAACGACGGTGGAATTTGATATAGGATCAGTGACGGGTCAATAGTAAGATCCAAGTATCTATGCATCATGTACTCGAGATATCTCTCTAGTCGATCAAGGGTCTTGGTTAAGTCATAGTTAATAGAGGGGAATGGTTAGGAAACCTATTGTTATTAGGTCTTTGTTCGCTTGTGAGGTTGAACCGGTCTTGACCATGCACAATGTTTGATTTATGCTCATCCGAAATTGCAAAGTAAGTAAACATAAACTTTGTTGGGTAAGCCAAGTTGGTTTATCAGGCGAATCCAAGGGAAATATAATCCTTGGCTTAAACAGCACATTCCTTCAGTTCATGATGATAACAGTAAAGCGGATACTAGATACATAAGAACGTACTCGGTAGCTTCTCGGTAGCTTCTCGGTAACGCCTACGACTCTACGACATATCAGGAAAAATGCCCCGACACAGCCCCGGAAAATATTGCTACTTGTCTAAACTTTTTTAAACGTTTTTTGGCTTTAGTTTAAATCTGTAAAATGTTTGAAATCTTTCTAACTATAATCTTAGCTTAGCTTCTTCTCACCTTTTGCCCAATTTCTTGTCTTTATAAGTGCTAAGGTACAAACCATTCAATACTTTCCCAGATAGCACACCTTTGTAGCTCATTTGAATGACATATTTTCCAGGTTTAAGTTTGCTTTTCATGATGAAAACATAAAAATTGTTTTCCGTATACTCCATTTTTTCTTTGACTTCTTGTTCTTTACCAGCAACGAACTCGTTTCCTCGCGGTTCAGCCGAGTGTACTGACGAATGCGTGATTGTCATCTCATTGAAGTGAATCAAGATGTACTCTGTATCTTTATTCACTTCAACTAATACACTCACATTACCATTGAACGTGTCTGTAGTCAAGTTWGGGTGTAAATACAGGTCATAATGAATAGGGACCACGTTAGTTGGTAGTCGTACTTGATACCATGGCTCGGGGCCTAGAGTTGGTTTGGTTGTGATACTCGAAGCAGTCGTAGCAGCAGCTCCTTTATTTCTCTTTTCCTTGTCAGCTAAGAGCTCACGTCTTGTTCTTTCTTCAGCGTATTTTGCACTAAGGACACCAGACAAGACTCCAATAATCACGGCCAGTAAAACGAGTATTATTATGATAATCAAAAAACGTTTCTTGGAGAAGACAATGAATGGTTCGCTTGAAGTCTTGTCCTTCTTGCTTGCATCTGGTGGATGCATTGGGACCTCTTCTATGTCACCCGTGGCCATTCTTACTAACTGCTCCGACAGAGAAGATGAAATACCACAAGAATCGTAAAAAAAATACACCAAAAGCAACGAGAACTGATCAAAGCAACAAGCAAGCGTCTCTGTCGACAGCTAAATAAATAATCTTTACAGCGTCTGTCGGTGAGAAGTATCAAGTAACAAAAGGCTTTAACTTTATAATGACAGCTATAGTCAGAAAAGTTAACATGCTGGCTACAAAAGTATTCTTGAAATGGGTTGTGTTTTGACGAGCCACCTGCTCTAAGAAAAGTGTTTCTTGAATAAAGTCATTATAAACAAAACGATTATGAACGACATGGATGACAAAGCACAAGAATATGGTTACGGAAAGAACAATATTGCTAATAGAGTCGCGATCTTATTTTTTTTACAGCCGGCCTATCGCTGATAGGCATCTATAGGAAACTTAACCGCTCAAGCAGGAAGAGGTGGTTCATTTGTGATCCGACAAGGAAAACAAATGAGAGCCATACCTGAAACCAATGGATCGTGCTAACGGGAAAAAAACCCAGTAAATATGAACAACTTCTGCATCAAATAGAAAAGCAAGTGAGGACAGTAAAGAGATAAAGACAAGAAAAAAT